AGCACTGCCTCTGTGGGTTTTCTGAGACTACAACTCTTTACAGGAGTAGAAAGTCCCGCCTGTCTCCTGTGGAGCAGCTGGTGGTTTTGAACTGCTCGTCTTTTAGTTAGCAGCCCAGCCAACGGGCAGCACCATGACCTTGTAAATCCTAAAGCACAATTCTACTTTGCCCTGTAGGGCCGCTGTGAGCTGTAATGGGTTTGGTTTTAGTGGTGTGTGTGTGTGTGAATAAGGGAGGGAGCCCCCAGGTGGGCTAACCTAAAGGCTGGAGCTCTGAGTCAGTCCAGAGGTGCCTCAGAAGAAAGGCCGGGCCATCTCCTTCCGGAAAACCCCAGGAAGCACAGGTGTGTTCTGACAGGGCCACTGTGAGGGGGTCAGCTCCCCAACAACTGGCATCCCATAGTGGGAGGGGGACCATAGGGGGGACCACAGCGTCCCACACAGTGCAGCCACACCTGCAACTGGGAACTTTGCAGTAAACAAGCCACAAGCCACGGGGGTGGAGGTGGAGGTGGTGGTGGGGGGGTGTGGGTGAAGATACACAGGTGAAAAGTATTATCCTATTTTCTGAAACCCCACCCACTCACTACCCTATACTGCAATCCGATCCCCTAGCAACCCTCTGGGACACAGTGGAGCTGGCCCCTTTGGGCTTCCAAGACTACATCTTTCCAGGAGCAAACAGTCTCATCTTTCTCCCTCAGAGAGGCCGGTGGGTTTGAACCACTGACCTCGTGGTTAGCACCTTTGTGTAGTCCACTGTACCACCAAACCAAAAAAACCCCTAAAACTGAGTGCTATCGAGTTGATTCTGACTCATGGTGATGCCATAGGGCAGGCTAGAACTGCCCCCGTGGGTTTCCAAGACAGAAACGCTTTACAGGAGTGGGTGTTAGGTGCCGAGTCAGCTCCAACCCATAGCAAAACTCACTGCCATTGAGTCAGTGCTGACTCACGGTGCCCCCTGTGCGTTTCCGAGACTCTCACTCTTTATGGGAGTAGAAAGCCCCATCTTTCTCCTGAGGAGCCGCTGCTGGTTTTGAACTGCTGACCAGCGTTCCTTTTTGAAACCCGGTACACACAACATGTAATTTCAGTGGGTGGTGGCGACTCACAGGTGACCCCTTGTGACAGGGCAGACCGGCCCCGAGGGGATTCTCGGCATCACCTCTCTGGTTTTCTCCCTCAGAACCGCTGGTGGGTTTGCACTGTCCACCTGGACTGATTAACACCTGAGTCGATGAACGGGCTTAGTGCTTGGGGGCTACCAGACACCGGGGCAGCCTCGGTCGATGTTGTGGGGCCTGGCCAGTGGGTCCCACCACAGCAAGTCCACACACCCAAGCAGCACACTGCCCGGTCCCCCGCCCGCCTCCTAGCCTGGTGATCGTTGCAGCCACTCAGCCAGTGCAGCCCCTGGGCGTCTTCCTCCTTTTGCTGCCCCTCCACTTGACCAAAGCATGATGTCCCACCAACATCGCAGTTTCAGGCCTCCCCCCACCCACTTCCAGAAGGGAGAGAGAGCATGCCTTCCAGTTGTTTGAAGTTTTCCTCCGTTCCCACCCCCACCCACATTTGTACCTTGACGGGGCTGGGGGGGTGGGAGGCCGGACGCTCCTGACAGTTGTAAAGTGATCTGCCCGGGTGCTCCAAGACCACGGCCTTGGCTGCTGCCACCGTGGAGGGGAGTCACCGCCCACCCTGTGCCCTGCTCAGTAAAGTGGGCTCACAGCACCTCCGTCCCCTCACACGGATCCCATCCGTCCCAAACTGCAGCACACTGTACGCTGGAGGGTGTGTGATCCACCAAGAGTGATTGCCACTCTTAAAGCTCCCCCACAGCAAAATGCACAGTCCCTGCCACCAAGCTGATGCCGACTCACAAGGCACCCCCTAGCACAGGGCAGAGCTGCCCCTGTGGGACTCGGAGGCTGTCACCGTTTGCCAGGGCTCTCTTATTGCTCTATGGGTCATCTGCAAGGGGACACGTGACCAGCGTGGCGCTAGTGGTGCAGGTGATGGAGGAGAGGCATCTGGACGTTTTCAGAGTCTCGTCAGCATCCAGGAGCGGAGGGCAGTCCTTACGACAGAGTGGCCGCGGCTGGCCGCCTGCAGTGGGACTGGCTCAGTGGCTGTCTAACTCAGGTGTGTGCCAGATCATTCCAGGGGAGCAAGCCAGTACCTGGACCCCTGAGCATCGTGGGGAGGGGGTCTTGGCAAGACTTAGGACCATTCAAATTCTGGCGGCCTTACGTTTTAAAAACTTCGTAGCAAGGGCTGTTAATTTAGGTGTCGGCTGCAAGATAAGCAAGGGATCCTGGCCAGAGTTTCTGGGGAGGGAGACCTGGGGGCCCGGTGGTCATGAGTCAGGGCTGTTAACCTCAAAGTCAACAGTTCAAAACCAGCAGCCGCTGCATGGGAGAAAGAGGAAACTCTCTACTCCTGTAAAGTGCCGCAGGCTCCGAAACCCACAGGGGCAGCTCCCCGCTGTCCGGCTTGGTTGCCGGGAGTCAGACTCGACTGGAGGGCGAGGAGTGTCCTAGTGGTGCCAACAGTGAACACACCTGACTGCTAACAGAGAGGCTGGAGGGGGACCCCCACCCTCAGGCACTTTGAAAGAAAGACCGGACGCCTGGCGTCTTTAACCCCCGGGGCCCACCACCAGCTCAGTCACGGTCGATGCAGGGACATGGAAGGGATCCAAATTTAAACGAACAACAATGTAGGAGGGAAGTGGATCACAGTGGAAAGGAGAGAGGATCGCTGGTTGAAAATGAGCACCGGGACTGCCACTGTGGGCACCTCCGGGAGCTCGAGGAGGGAGGGACACTGGGTCTCCCGCCCTGCGGAGAGGGACACCCGTTCCAAGCTGAGCAGCAGGCTGGCTGCCCTGTTGGAGGGGACAGCATAGTCCCCCACCGTGTTGTTGGAGAGATCCTGCCTTTGCTCGCCAGCAGGGTCATCCTTCCTGTTCCGGGTATTATCCCAGGGTCCTGGAGCCCGTTCCGGACTGTTCCCACTCTGGAATAACCACTTAGAAGCCCTGCTGAAACCACTGGGTGCCCGGTTCTGCTGCCCCGGGCATGTGGGGCTCAGTGAGCCAGAGTGGCCTGGATGACAGTGTGCTACGTGGGACGTGGGCTCTGGGCTGTACCAGTGCTGGGAAATCGGGAGGTGGGGGCTGGGTGCCCTCACAGTGGGTGAGGGGTGGCCTGCACTCACCTTGGCGGCCAGGATGTGCCAGGCGTCCTCCTCCACCCGGACCACCCGGTAGTAGAGGGCGTCCCCGCTGTCCACACAGGGCGAGTTGTCCAGGAAGCGGAAGCTGTGGCTGGGGTGGCAGGGCCCCGGACGGCCCCCTGTGAGCCGCGTGCGGAGCCGGGCGTGGATGGTGGCCAGGCTGGCCAGCTGCCGGGTGGCCAGTGCAGCGTGCACAGCCTCCACGCTGTGCAGGTCTCGGAAGAAGTGGCCCAGGTCGGCGTCTGGCGTGCTGAAGGACAGCTCCTCTAGGGGACAGGGCAGCCCTGCGTCCTGTTGAGCCTCCCGGCTCTCGTCCACACTGTGGGAGGCCAGCAGGGGCTTCCGGGGCTGCCTGGGGCGGGCAGGGCTGGAGGTCCGGTTGGTGGGCAGGGACTGTGTTCTCGTCAGGGTCTTCTTGGGCAGGGGAGGGGGCTGTCGGTCAGCTGAGAGGGACCCGGGTGTCCGGGCGCGGCAGGCCTTGGAGGGCAGCAGGTGGGACCGGATCTCACCTGTGGGGGAGGAAGTCAGGTAGTGGGACGCAGGATACCTGACTGCACCCCTCGGCCTAGATGTCCCCCTCCTCAGAACAGGGATACTCGTATCCACAGCCCCGTGTCCTATGGGCCAGAGCGTTGACCAGCTCGCTCCCCATGTCCTGAGGATTGGGTAGTGACCCCCTTCATGTCCTATGGGTCACGTTGGGTTGGGTGACAGCCTTCCATGTCTGTGGGTCCAGATGGATTGAATGGGGACTCCCTCCTCGCTCCCCACTGTGGTTGAAAGGTGTGTGCTGGGGACATGCTGACCCCCGTTCGAGCATCGGGTCTCACAGGTTAACTGGAGACATGAAAACCCAGTCACACTAGTCAGACACCTGGGGAGGAGCCAGGGCCCTGGGGGCAGGGACGGTGCATCAGGGTGGAGCTGTGCAGCCGGCCCCCTCCCGGAAGCAGACTCCTGATTTCCCAGAGGAAAGTCCACCAAGAGCTGCTGGTGGGTTTGAACTGCTGACCTTGCGCTAGTGCCAACCCAGCACTTATCTCAGCGCCCCCAGGGCACCTTTTATAGGAGACGAGGAGAGAGTCAGGACCCACAGCGTGGGCAGCCAGGCGAGGACCAGGGTGGAGGTGGGACTGACACACCCAGACGCGAGGAGGAGCCCCCTGTGGTAGGAGGCTCTGGATGATCAGGGACACCGCAAGCCCATTTGCAGGGCCCCCACGCGCGCGGGTCACGCTTCCATCGAATTCCTCCTCCTCATTAACCAAGGAGATCGCGGCAGCTGAGCGAGGCCGGGCGCTGACTGTGGAACAGACCGTCAATTGCTCCTAGGTGGGTTGGGGTAAAGCTGAAGAAAATGAACGTACGTCCGCAGGAGCCACAATGCCACCTGGAGTCTCTCCCACCTGGATTTCAAGGGCATCTCAAGGACAGATTTGACGCATTGAGCACTAGGGACAGAAAACCAGTGAGCTGTGGGCGGGCATCAAGACCATTGCTCGTGAAGAAGGCAGAGAGTCACTAAAAAGACAGGGGAGGAAGGAATGATCCATGTGGCCGTCAGAAGAGCCTCAGACTTGCTCTTCAGGGGAGAGCGGCTAACGCCAAGGGCAGAAAGGATGACGTCAAAGAGCCGAACAGAAAATGTTGAAGGGCACCTTGGGAAGAGAGTGCTCACGATGATAATGAGACGTGCAAGTATCCAGGTCAGAAAACCCAAGAGGGAGAACACGCACACGCACAGCGTGTTTCAGACAGAAAGCACTCGAGGAAACGATCGGGCTTCGACTGGCAAATCGTGAAAGATTCCACCGGCGAAATATCGAATGGTGCGGGAGCGTCCAGGAAGATGGACAGAAGACAGTCGCTGCCCCAGAAAGAACAAGTGGACATCTCACCCTTTCAGGAGGTAGCCGATGAGCAAGAACCAGTCGTGCCGAAGGGAGCGGTCCAAGCTGTACTGAATGCGTTAGCCAAAAACCAGGCTCCAGGAGGGGGTGGGATGCCCCTTGAAATGTTTCAGCAAGCTGAGGAAGCCCGGGAAGCTCTCACTGGTCCGTGCTGGGGCATTTGGAAACTAGCTACTTGGCCAACGGACTGGAAGAGATCCGTGTTTGCACCCCTTCCAAAGAGAGGTGACCCCACGGAATGCTCAAACGGTAGAGCAAGACCACTGATATCGCATGCAGGCAAACGTTTACTGAAGCTCACCCAGCAACGGCTGCAGCAGGACGTTGACAGGGGGGCCTCCGAAGGTCAGGCTGGATTCAGAAGAGGACGTGGAACGAGGGGTCTCGTTGCGGATGTCAGACGGATCTTGACTCAACACAGAGACGGCCAGAAGGGTGTTTACTTCTGTTTCTTTGTGCCAAGGCAGACGGTAATAAATGGGGTCACCTCGAGAAGAATGGGGATCCCAGAACACTTCCTTGTGGTCCTGCAGAACTTGTACCTCTCTTTCGCCGCCCCTCCACTTCACCAAGCATGATGTCCTTCTCCGGGGACTGGTGTCTCCTGGCAGCACGTCCAAAGTACGTGAGATGACGTCTCGCCATCCTAGCCTCTGAGGAGCGCTCTGGCCGTCCTTCCAAGACAGACCTGTTTGTCCTTTTAGCAGTCTGTGCTACTCCCCGTCTTCTTCGCCGGCACCATAACGCAAAGGCTTCGTTTCTTCTTTGGTCCGTCCTCCTTATTTGATGTCCAACTTTCACGTGCGTCAGAGGCGAGTGAAAATACCCTGGCTTCGTCTTCAAAGTAACGTCCTTGCTTTTTCCGTCTTTAAAGAGGCCTCATGCACCAGAGTTACCCACCGCGGCCTGACTTTTGATCTCTTGACTGCTGCTTCCAGGATCACTGATTGGGGATCTAACTAAGCAAGGTGACATCGTCCGTCTTTTCTCCATGCATCCCGACGTCACCTATTGGCCCAGTTGTGGGGATTGGGGTCTTCCTGACACTGAGTTGTCATCCACGCCGAAGGCTGCAACCCCTGGTCTTCATCAGCAAGGGCTTCCAGTCCTCCCCACTGCCTGCGAGCACGGCTGGGTCCTCTGCTTGTGCATAAGCCTCCCTCCCACCCTAGTGCCGCACTCGGCTGCCCAGAGAATCCAGCTCAGCGCACCAATGGAACAAGTCTGGGGAGAGGCTACAACCCTACGCACACTTTTCACGATTTGACACAAGCAGTGTGCCCTTGTTCTGTTCCCACACCTGCCTCTTGATTGAGATACAAGTCCCTCATGAGCACAGTGAGGCGTTCTGGAATCCCCGTTCTTCCCAAGGCTCCTCCATAGTTTATTGTGATCTACACAGCCGAATGCCTTGAACAAACAGAAGCAAACAAACATCTTGCTGGTACTGTCTGCGTTCCGTCAAGGTCTGCCACAGCAGCAGGGATAGCTCCTGTTCCACGTCCTCTTCTGAATGTGGCCTGAATCTCGTCAGCGCCCCATCAATAGCCCCCTTTAAGGCTTAATGTTCTTCTTAAATTATATTTGAGGTTGGGGTCTGTTTTGTACCCGAAAGCAGGCTCAGAGGAGGGGCCAGGTGGTCCCCATTTTTCTGAGTGGCTCCGGCCAGGGGGCTACCCGTCTCTGCACCCGGGTTTCCTTCTCTGTATCAGCCGGTGGCTCAGCCTCGCCCCAGCTGCCTCCCATCCCCAGCCACTCACCAAGGTTGCTGTATGTGGGCTGCGCTGACCAGGCCCCGGTGCTGGGCTCAGGGGTCTCGGTGGGCGTCTCTGGGCTGCTCATGCTGCCTGGGGAGGGGGGGGAGTCAGGAGACACGAAGGGTGGTTGTGGAGGGAGAGTCGGGGAGGGCACAAAGGGTGGTTGTGTGGGAGCATCTCTGCACACGCACAGGTGGATTAGGGCAAGGTTGGTGCAGGAGTGGGGCGGACAACCGAGTCCAAGGTAAGAGCTGTGCACTCAAGCTCCGGTTCCCCCACCCCCTCATCTGCTGTGACGCTGCGGGAGGTGGGCACTGACGGGAGAGGCTCCAGGACCCACACTGGCCCCTCATCCCCATGTCCCCCTCTCACCCTGCCCAGCCTCTCCTCTCTCTCAAAACTCACCATGCTGACTCACAGCGACCCTACAGGACAGGGTAGGACCGCCCCTGTGGGTTTCTGAGGCTGTAGAAGGCTCCGTGTTTCTCCCATTTCTCAACTCTAGCGCACCCCAAATCATTCCCCCCTCTGCCATCCCCTAACCCAGCCGTGTCCCAGGAGCCCCCTACCTGCAGGACAGGAGTCTGAAACAAGTCCCTAGTGACCAGTGGGGGAGGAGGGGCCTTGGAGGACCAGCTCCCAGTAGCTGCGGGCAGTGGCCCCCGGGGTGTCTGAATGTGGAGGGCAGGAAGCATCTGGGTAACTGCTTGACCGCAGGAGGGGCGGGGCCGGCGCGGACCTTTCTGCAATACTTCCCCAGCCGGGAGGGGGGAGGGTAAGGGGGGGGGCACTGCAGGACAGGAAGTAAGTGACCTGTATTCCAGGCAGAAGGAACAGCTCGGGCAAAGACCCCGATTGAAATGGTTTCTTTGACAGCATCATGCTGGGTGAAAGAAGCCAGGAGAGGCACCCTGTTGGCACTATGGGCTCAGCATTGAGCTGCCGTCCCCACCCGCCACCAGTCACTTCCACTGGATAACCACCAGGCTGTCTGCACCAGCCGAGAGTTACAGCCTCAGAACATCTCCTGAGCGGTAGCCTGCTGGCCTACAGGGTCTCTGTGAGTCAGAATCGACGTGTTGGCAGTGGGTTTTAAGGGAGATGCCCAGAACAGACCAATGCATCGAGACCAGCGTTTGCCAGGTGGCTACCAAGGGCGGGCAGAACCCTGGTGGGGTGACGTTTGAGCGCTCGGTTGTGAGCTGGAAGGTCGGTGGTTCAAAGCCACCGGCAGCTCTGTGAGAGATTGTTCTGCCAATCTGCTCCCATCAGTACGACAGCCTAGAAATCCCTGGGGGCCCACGGGTCTGTGGTAGTTACCTCATCAGGTGTCAATTTGGGACTTGAGAGGATTAAGGGTGAAGGGGTGGAGTCTAGTCTGTCAATCAGATCACAGCCAATGAGGCCTCTGTGTGGGCGTGGCTTCTCATGGGGATTCTGGGAACTCCTGGATTTTTCCTCCTTGGAGGCAGAAGAGATTCTCTCTGCTCACTCCCTTGGAGACATTCTACTGACCAGACACATGGCACTACACTGATAGACACCGTGCCCTGGGAACTGGAGAAGCCACATGGAGACCCCTGCCAGCGCTGAGATACAACGCCACTGGATCCAAAGACCTTCCACCCACTGGCCTGTGATCGCCCTGCATCTGGCGTCATTGCATGTGTTTCATGAGTCTGAAGAGGACTTTATAGATTGGTATTGGACATAAGGGCAAATACCGGACTTATGGGCTTGGACTGGACTGGGTTGGGATGCTTTCTTAATGTATAATTACCCTTTATATAAAACCCTCTCTTGTCCACATATGAGTTTCTCTGGATTTGTCTCTCTAGTCCACCCCAGATTCACACAGGGTCCCTGTGATTCAAAAATCAACTCAATGGCAGCTAACAAGAAGGACGACAGAGATAAGAATGTCAGGCCATGCAGGTAAATGGCTCCAGGTTGTTGTTCGTTGCTTTGGGGTGGATTCCAAGCACTGGCAGGTCCACGTGTGCAGATGAGAGCTTGCTGTTGAATATGTTATTTTAGCTTTGTGCTTGTTGGGGACCCACACAAGCAGGACAGACACTACCCTGACATTTTCTCCACGGCTCCTTCGAAGCCAGGGTGACCCGTCAAATCATGTGGCCTTTCTCAGCCTTCTTTGCTGAGTCTCCCTCCTCCAAGAACTCCCCTCCCTTCCATGATCGGTCCTGGCTTTCCCATAACGCTTGTCCTCTTGGACCCAGAGAGAGACAGCTTTCAACAGCAGAGTGCTCACGGCAGACATTGAAGGGAAAGGACTGTTCGGCTCTCAGAAGACTCCGGGGATGCTTTTCAGTTTAAGGTTTAAAGACGATCTCAGGGCCAACGTTTCGGGGATTCATCCGTCCTTGAACTCCTCGAGAATTTGAAATTCAGTTTTGCACACACACGCCCCATTTGCTCATCTGCTTTAGAATATCTGAAGCAAGTATTCACACATGGGGGCTGGGCACCATCTAGGTCTTCTGGTCTCCTGGCTCAGGAGCCAGTTAGCCACACATTCCATTTCTTCCTCCTCCCCCTGACGCTTGATGGAATACCAATCGATATGTCTTCACAAATGGATGTAACCCTGGAGGAGCTCCTTTTTCTGTGCCGAGAAAGTTGGAAGACAGCTACCCGACCAACCTCCCACCTTTGTTTGTGTCCAGCCCAAAGCAATGTGGATGCGGACATGATAGAATGACAGCACTAGTCTCACAGGCAAGTAAAACTCTGCCGAGGGTTGTGCAGCAATGCTGTCCGCGGTGCATCGACAGGGAGCCGCCAGACATGTAGCATGATTCAGAGGAGGACATGAAACACTGCTGCTCTCAGATGGATCTTGGCCGAATGAAGAGCATGCTGGGACGGCGTCCGTCCGCTCGTGGTTTAGTGACTGCACACAGGCAGTGGACTGTGGGGGTCACAGCCAGCTATGGCCAGCCTCGAGGAAAACGGAGATTGCAGAATGCTTCCTTGTGTTCAAGGGGCCTTAGTGGCACGGCGGGTTAGCGCTGGCTTGCTGCCCTCGAGTTTGGTGGTTCAAATTCACCAGTTACACCTTGGGGGGAAACCTGAGGCTGTCTTCTCCGGCAAAGACTTACAATCTCAGAAATCTTTTGGGGACTGTCCACCCCTGTCCTGTATGGTCACGAAGAGTCAGAATCAACAGCAGTGGGTTCTCGTTGTGCGCCTGCGGAGCCTGTACACAGGCCAAGAGGCAGTTGTTTGAGCAGAACAGGGGCTCAAACTCAGGAGACGTGTGTGTTGGGGTGGCCTCCTTTCACCATTCCACTTGTTTCATCTATATGCTGAGCAAACGCTCTAAGAACAAGGCACCAGGAATGGAGGGATGCTGAACAAGCAGTGCTGCATAGATGGCAGGGCCTTGCTCGCTGAAAGTGAGGGGGACTCGAAGCAGTTGTTGATGATTAACATTTGGAGGACGGAGCCCTTCAGTAGGGATTACAACTCAATGCAAAGAGAACCAACATCCTCAGACTGGACCAGGCGGTGGCAGCACGATGAAGGGAGAGAAGGTGGAGGTTGTCTAGGCTGTCATCTTGCCTGCTCCACAGCCGGTGCTCCCGGAAGCAGCAGGCCAGGGGATCAAACAGCATGGCCCGAGGTCCAGGTGCCGCACAAGCCCTGTTGAGAGTGTCCAAAAGCAAGGGCGTTCCTTTGAGGACTGAGGTGTCTGGCCCGCAGCCGCGGCCTTGCCCCCCGCTCCCCCCTCCACCTCCTGTGCGTGTGACAGTTGCTCCATGAAAAGGGACATCCCGAGAAGAGTTAGGGTGTGAGGGTGCTGCTGGAAGATATTAACAACGCTCTGAGAGCTTCCATACGAACGAACCTGAATGAAGTCCCGGATGAAGTGCAGCCAGAATGCTCCTTAGCAGCAGCAAGAACGGGGAGGTTGTAGCTCTGCTACAGTTGGACGCGTTGTCAGGAGAGACCTGTCCCTGGAAAAGGACATCATGCTTGGTCCAATAAAGAGGAGGGGACCTTCAGTGAGACAGATTGACGCAGTGGCTATCGCAAGAGGGTTAAACATGGAAACAGCTGTGAGGATGGCGCGGACCCAGTGGTGTTTGCTTCAGTTAGACACAGGGTCACTGCGACTCACGGTCCCACTTGGGGCACCTCACAACAACAACAAGAGGGCCTCTCCTCCCGGCCCGGTTGCTCCAGGCTGAGAGAGAGACCAATAGTTGGGCGTGGGTGGCTGCTTGCAGGTTTATATGACCCCAGCTCCCACATCAGGGACAGGGAAGAACAGAAGCACTGAACACGCTAGTAGGCCCAAAACGGGAGCCCCCCCTCCTGAAACCATGATCACAAACCTCCACGTGAACCGGATCCCACGATGTTTTGGGTTGCGGCTACTTTTTTCTCTTTTTGGCTTCTCGTCAACACACCACACACACCTTTGCCAACTCACCTTTGTTACTGGTGCACACCTCAGTGGCCGCCTTTGCATTCATCAGCCTCAGGACCCTGCCCTGCCACTCAGTGGGGTTTTCCCACCGCTGGGAAGGAACTCTGGTGGCATGGCCTCTGGTGGCATGGTCTCTGGTGGCATGGCCTCTGGTGGCATGGCGCGCTCTGGGCATTGGGCTGCTAACCACCAGGTCAGCCGTCTGAAACCGCCCGCTGCTCGGAAGGAAAAAGACAGGCTTTCTCCTCCCGTAAAGAGTTACAGCCTTAGGAACCCACAGGCACAGCTCTGCCCTGCCCTACAGGGTCGCTAAGAGTTGGAAACCCAGGCTCAGCTCTCCACGAGCCCATGCTTCTCCTTCAGCCCTGCAGCCACTTAGAACCTCTGGTCTCTCAACACTCGCCATTCTTGTCTTTGGGTGTGAAGTGAGTGTGTTCGTCTGGGTCGCCTATAGAAACAAATCCAGAGACATCCGTAGGTGTGTAAGAAAGAGCTTCATAGACAAGAGCAGTTGAATATTGAGAAAACATCCCGGCGGGGTCCAGATCAAGTCCCTAAGTCTAATAGGAGCCCATAGGTCCGATACCAATCTATAAAGTCCTCTTCAGACTCACACAACACAGGCAATGACG